AGTGGCATGAAGTAATCAAGATCATGAAAAATAAATATCTGAATCCAAGACCACTCTATCCAGCAAGGCTATCATTTAAAATAGAAGGTCAAATAAAGAGCTTTCCAGATAAAATAAGCTAAGGAAATATATTAACACCAAACCAGCAGGCAAGATATGCTAAAAGGACAGCTGTAATTAGTAGAAGAAATAGGAAGAAAAATAGAACCACACTAAACAAAAATGGCAATAAATAAGTACATATCAATTATCACCTTAAATGTGAATGGTTTGAATGCTTCAATAAAAGACACAGAGTAGCTGACTGGATAAGAAAGCAAGTCTCACATATATGTTGTTTACAAGAAACCCACCTTACAACAAGACTCACATAGTTTGAAAGTGAAGGGATGGAAGAAAATCTTCCAAGCAAACGGAAAGCAAAAAATGCTGGGGTAGCAATACTCATATATGATAAAGTAGATTTCGAAATGAAGGCCCTAACTAGAGACTATCTATCTAACAGGAAGATGTAACATTGATAAGCATATATGCACTCATTATAGGAACACCGACATTTCTTAAAAATCTTTTGGAGGACTTCAAAGGAGAAATCGACAGCAATACGGTCATAGCAGGGGACTTCAATACCACCCACTGACATCACTGGACAGATCTTCTAGACAAAAAATTAAAAAGAAAACACAGGCTCTGAATGAAGTGCTAGATCAAATGGATTTTATAGATATCTACAAATAATTACACCCCAAAACCTCAGAATTGACATTCTTCTCAAGTGCACATGGGACAGTCTCAAAGGCAGACCATATGTGAAGGCACAAACTAAATCTCTACGAGTTCAAGAAGAGTGAAATCATATCAAGGATCTTCTCAGATCACAATGGCATGCAACTAGAAATCAATTGCAACAAGAACATGCGAAGACATTTGAAAACATAGAGGCTAAATAGCATGTTATTGAACAATGAATGGGTTACCATAGAGATAAAGGAAGAATTTAAAAACTTCCTGGAAACCAATGAAAATGAACACACAACAACACAAAATCTATGGCATGGAGCAAAAGCAGTTGAGAGGGAAGTTCTTAGCACTACAGGCCTACCTCAAGAACCAAGAAAAATCTCTAATAGACTATCTAACCTCACAACTTAAAGAACTAGAATGCAATAAAAAAAAAAAAAAAAAAAAACAGAGCAAGTACAAGGAAGGACATAGTAAATATCAAAGCAGAAATAAATGACATGGAGACCAAAAAAAAAAAAAAACACAACAATTCAAAGGATCAGTGAAACAAAGAGCTGGTTCTTTGAAAATATAAACAAGATTGATGGACCCTTAGCTAGACTCACCAAGAAACAAAGAGAGAAAACCTAAATACACAAAGTCAGAAATGAAAGAGGAGAAATAATAACTGACACCACAGAAATACAGAGGATTGTTAACAAATATTATGAACAATTATATGGCAACAAATTTGACAATCTAATCGAAATGGTCAAATTCCTAGAAACACGTCGTCTCCCAAAACTGAACGGGAAGAGATAGAAAACTTGAACAGACCAACAAAAACAAAAGAAAACGAAGATCTAATCAAGACTCTCCCAGCAAACAAAAGTCCAGGCCTGGACAGCTTTACAGGGGAATTTTATCGAACATTCAAAGAAGAACTAATACCATTCTTCTCAAACTATTTCAAAAAATTCAAGAAGAAGGAAGACTCCAAGCTCGTTCTGTGAAGCCAGCATAATTCTAATTCGAAAACCAGAAAAAGACACTACTAAGAAAGAAAACTACAGACCAATATCCCTGATGAACATAGATACCAAAATCCTGAACAAAATACTAGCAAATCAAATCCAGCAATACATCAAAAAAAATTATTCACCATGACCAAGTGGGATTCATCTCAGTTATGCAAGGCTGGTACAGTATTCGCTAATCAATAAATGTGATACACCACATAAACAAAATGAAAGATAAAAATTATATTATTATATCAATACATGCTGAAAAAGCATGCTATAATATCTAGCACCCATTTTTGATAAAAAATGCTCAGCAATCTGGGAATAGAGGGATCAAATCTCAACATAACAAGGGCCATATATGAAAGACATACTGCCAATATCATACTCAACGGGCAAAAATTGAAAACATTTCCCTTAAGAACAGGAAAAAGGCCAGGGTGCTCACTTTTGCCACTCTTATTTAACATAGTACTGGAAGTCTTAGCCACAGCAATCAGACAGGAAGAAAAAATAAAAGGGATCCAAATTGGAAAGGAGGAAGTGAAACTGTCATTATTCGCAGATGACATGTACTTTATGTAGAAAACCCCAAAGACTCCATCAAAAATTTACTAGACTTAATTAATGAATTTGGCAAAGTATCAGATTACAAAATTAATGTCAAAAAATCGATAGCATTCTTATACACAAGTGACGAAGTCATAGAAAGAGAAACTAAAAAAACAATCCCATTTACCATAACAGCAAAAAAATTAAGAAACTTAGGAATAAATTTAACCAAAGAAATAAAGGACCTATTCACAGAAAACTACAGGTCATTGAAAAATGAAAGAGAAGAAGATATAAAAAAGTGGAAGCACATACCTTGTTCATGGACTGGAAGAATTAACATCATTAAAATGTCCATACTACCCAAAACAATCTGTAGATTCAATGCAATCCCCATCAAAGTACCAACGACATACTTCACAGAACTAGAACAAATACTTCAAAAGTTTATGTGGAACCAAAAAAAGACCTTGAATAGCCACAGAAATCTTGAAAAAGAAGACCAAAGTTGGAGGGAACACATTACCAGATTTCAGGTTATACTACAAAACCACTGTAATCAAAACAGCCTGGTATTGGGACAAGAACAGGCATATAGACCAGAGGAACAGAACAAAGAACCCAGAAATGGACCCAAGGCAATATGCTCAATTCATATTTGATAAAAGTGGCAAGAGCATACAGTGGAGTAAAGACAGCCTCTTTAATAAATGGTGTTGAGATAATTGGAAAGCTACATGCAAAAAAATGAAACTAGACCATTAACTTACACCCTACACAAGAATAAACTCAAAATGGATAAAAGACTTAAATATGTCTCATGAATCCATAAAATTCCTAGAAGAAAATGCAAGCAACAAAATTTCAGACATCATACGCAGCAGAATTTTCAATGATACATGACCTAAGGCAACAGAAACAAAGAAGAAAATGAACACATGGATCTATGTCAAAGTAAAAAGCTTCTGCACAGCAAAATGGAAAGGCAACCCACTGTGAGAGCATAATTGCCAATGATATATCAGATAAGGGGTTAATTTCCAATATAGATAGAGTGCTCATACAACTCAACAAAAAGAAAACAAAAAATCAAATTAAAAAATTGGCAGAGGAGCTAAGTAGACACCTCTCCAAACAGGACATACAAATGGCCAAGAGACATATGAAGAAATGCTCAACATCACTAACCAACAGAGAGATGCAAATTAAAACAATGAGGTATCACCTCTCACCTATCAGAATGGCCGCCATCAACAAATCATCAAACAACAAGTGTTGGCGAGGGTGTGGAGAAAAGGGGACTCTAGTACACTGCTGGTGGGAATGCAGACTGGTGCAGCCACTATGTAAAACACTATGATGTTACCTCAAAAAACTAAAAATTGAACTTCCATTTGACCCAGTGATCCCACTTCTAGCAATATACTATAAGAAACCTGAAACACCAATCAGAAAGACTATATGTACCCCCATGTTTGTAGCAGCACTATTTACAATAGCTAAGATCTGGAAACAGCCCAAGTATCCATCAGTTGACGAATGGATAATAAAGCCATGGTACGTATACACAATGGAGTACTGTGCAGCTGTAAGAAAGATCTCTTATCCTTTGAGACGACATAGAGGGAACTGGAATGTGTTATCCTAAGTGAAACAAATGAAGCAGAGAAATACAAGTATCATATGATATCTCTTATTTCTGGAATATAATTAACATAACAGTCTCAGGAACAGGGTAGTCCCAGAGTCGTGGAAGTGGGGTACAGACTGACAATTCCCAGAAGAGGGGGTTGTGGGGGAGAGATAAACCATGGAACTTATATGCATATATTCGTGAACAATGGACATGGACAACAAAGCTGGGGACAGGGCAGGGAGGGAGGGCAGGGGGCAATCATTGGGGGAAAAAGGAGAAACATCTGTAACAAAAATAAATTAATTAATTAACAAAAAAAATATAGGAAGTATAATTCTTTTCAAGTTAATGTTTTCATGTTTCTTTGTATAAATATGCAGAAGTGCAAATTTTTGAGTCATATGATAGTTCTAATTTTAATGTTTTGCTGAAACTGCATGATGTTTTCAATAGTGGCTGCATCAATTTATAATCTCACCAATAGTACATGAGGGCTACCAGAAGAGAGTAGTTTGGGGCAATGGGTTAAAAAAGTGAAGGGAAAAGACATATAGACTTCCAATTTTAAAAGAAATAAGCCACAGAAATGTAGTGTACAGTACAGGAAATATGGTAAATGATTTTAATAACTTTGCATGGTAACAGATGGTTACTAGACTTATCGTGCTGATTATTTTGTAAGTTAAACAAGTGTTGAATCAATGTTGTCTGTTTTAAATTGATATTATCATCCAGAATTGTACAAATCCCTGGTTTTCTTAATAGGAATCTTATTCTTTGATTCATAAATTCTGTTGGTGAGTCAACATATACTTGTGTTATCTTTGAAATTTTGTAAAGGTTCCCATCAGACTGTAAGCTCCATGAAATCATGGACTGTGTATGCTTTCCTTACTGTGGTATCCTTAGCACTAATCGTAGGATTTGGCACATAGTTGGTACACAATAAATATTTCATATTATTAATTGATTTTTAATTCACTTAGTATCTCAAGACAATTGAAAATTGGTCACCGTAATACCAGAAGATATCGGTAAAACAACTCTTACAAAACTTCTCTTTACAGGTATGAGGGCTTGGCCCATGCATTACAGTGTGCTGATTACATTAAGGTTAATGGAAAAAATATTGGATGCAGGTTTCTGTATTTGGAGTCACCGGACTATAAAGATTTCTACATCTGTGTTAATGGATCATCAAAATCCCAGCTTATCAGACCCAGCTATTTTATTTTTCAGCTTCAAAATATAGGTGAGGTAAACAAACACCTTCAAAATGTTTCTAGTTTAGGCCATTTACAACCACATGGAAAAGATAGAGAGAGAGAGAGGGAGAGAGGGAGAGAGAGAGAGAGAGAGAGAGAGAGAGAGAGAGACTGAAATGCAAAGATGGAAAAATGAGGGCCAGCAGAGCATACAAGGAAACTCCTACTAAATATAAAAGTATGGAAGATAAGTAATTGAATGAAGGGTAAAATGTCATTTTCATTTGGAACTCACAATCTATTTTCCAGCTTCAATGTGTTGGTCTACTACACAGTATTATTGTCTAGTTTTAGTGATGGAGTAATTATAAAATCACTTACTCTCAGGCCTCAGTAAACAAATGGTTGGATATTTTCTGAGTCTGGATTCTTAGTTCTAACAGTTACAACAATGGCAGGTTCTAGAGTCAGCCACACGTGGGGTTGAATCTTGGATTTACCACTTTCTAGGTGTATGTCTTTGGGCAAGTTACTTTTAACATGTGTTTCAATTTCCTCACCAGTAAAATAAGGATGATAAAAGACCACCTCATAGATTTATTGTGAGATATGACTGAATTTGTGATATAACATCCCTGGTTTAGTGCCTGATACATCATAAGCTCTAAATAAGATAGCTATGGTTGCATTAGTTGTTTCTATGGTTGTATTAGTTGTTTCTAATGCTACTATAGGGGATAAAAACTTTTCTTCTACCCTTCTAGGTTCTATTGATTGGTTTAATAAGTAAATTGACATAAGACAGAGCAATAGGAGAAAAACAAATTTAATTACATATGTATGAGGGACCAAAAGACAATGAGTCAATGGAGGCTTATGTGCCAACCTGAGCTGAGGAGAAGGGGATAGGGGTCTGGAGCTTCAAAAGGAAGGAAGACAATTCACAGGAAGATGGAAAGAGTAAAAGTTTGGTACACAAATGTTTACATTGCCATGCAGAGACAATGGATACAGAGAAGACTTTGAAGACATAATCCCTGCCTGCTCCCCCCAGCTCAGCACACATGACCCATTCTCTTGGTAATTATCTCTGGTGATAGCTCTCTTCTTGGACAAGGCCCTCTATTTAAATTATTTTAGTCAGTTAAGGGGAGGTTAAAAAAAAAAAAAGAAAAGAAGGAAAACTCTTCCTGAGTCTTTTGGACCTTGTTTGTCTTCAGCTCAAAATAATCCACATGGTGAAGGAGGCACATTTTAGTGTGATCTATTCTATTTCCCTTCACTACAAAATGGAAAAAATAACTGTAATGATTTGGATCTTCCAACTTTTCTCTTAAACTCTAATATTAGTCAATATGTCACTCACCAAAAATTAGTTTCCAAAATAGCTATGTTTGTTAATAACCCAAACTTGGTTGGCAATCAACTTTGACTTTAAATCACATTATAAAATTTTTTTTTCTTTATTTATTTTTAGAGAGAGAGTAAGGGAGAGGAATAGAGAGATAGAAACATGGATTGGCTGCATCCTGCATGCCCCCCACTGGGGATTTGGCTCACAACCTGGGCATGTGCCTTGACCAGTAATCAAACTGGTGACCTCTTGGTGCATGGGCTGACACTCAGACACTGAGCCACACCTGCCAGGCTAGAAAATAGTTTTGAGCCAACTGATTTATCCTGGAGGCTTAGGTTACTAGGTTTGATATAATTATAATTAGCTAGTTATTAATAATAAGAAGAAGCAAAAGGAAGGCCAGACATTATAAGCATGGCCATCTGGGCAGCTTAACTAGGGAGCTGCAATTTTACAATCCCCAGGGAACCCACCAGCCCATTTCCTGCAGAACACTGGGGAAAGAGGGAGATGAGCAAATGCTCAGTGAGTCAGAGTGATGTAGGGAAGGTGCTTTCTGCCAGTCAAACCTGGGAACAGAGATCACTGACTAGAGGGGGTGGAGCAAATACAACCCCACGAAAATCTGGAGATAATAATCCCAAGGCAAAGGAGTTCATGTTCTTGACTCTTGGTGCTTTTGGCACCCTCGACTCTCTTGCTCCTTTGGTTTTGTTCCTGCCCATTTCCATTCATAGACATGTGGCCTTGTGAACCCCACATGCAATGAACTGATGGACTGCAGCTTGGAATACAAACTAACCTAGCCTGATGCTGGTTTAGACTATGAAAATATGGAACAGAAACTTTGGGCATCGGCTTTAATCCTAGCCCTGCTAAAGGCACAACTGGACTTTTTCCTTGGCAGGATGGAGGGAAATGGAACCTTGGAAACTCAGGGATTTAACCCCACCCAAATGAACGCTATTCATTATCCTGTGTGAGTCTCAGAAAATTATTTTTCTTGTGATGTCTTAAGAAAACCACATCCCCAGGCAACAAGTGGGGACAGGGAGAAGACCCCACCACTTACACGTTTCCTTTGCTCTTTTTTAAAAAATAGACTCTTATTGATTTTAAACAGAGAGAAAGAGAAAGTGAGATAAGAACATCAATGAGGGAGAAACACTGATCAGCTGCCTCCTGCAAGCTCCCTACTGGGGGCCAAGCCTGCAACCTAGTCATGTGCCTCAACTGGGAATTAAACCAGAGACCTCTAGGTGCATGGAATGATGCTCAATCAACTGAACCACACCAGCCAGGGCTCCTTTGCTTTTGATAAGGTCTACTGCTAAATTTCAGTAACCTCCATGTTGAAATGGTTTTCTTTTTATTTTTCAGTTAAACCTTTGCCACCAGACTATCTTAGTATTACTGTGAAGAATTCAGAGGAAATTAACCTGGAATGGAACATACCTAAAGGACCCATTCCAGCAAAGTGTTTCATTTATGAAATTAAGTTTACAGAAGATAATACTACCTGGGTGGTATGAACATTAAATTTATTTGGGAAAATCACATATATAGTCTTTTAAATAAAATAGCAAACATGAGAACAAATCAATTTATATCCACATGATTAATAGAACATGACATGTATCTTAGTTTAATTTCCAAAAATATCAAGTCATCTAGTGGACAAAAAAAGGCTTTTGCTGTCTAAAGGTATAATCAGTCATACCAATTTTAAAGCTATGAAGGACAATAAAGATAATCCAGTCACTTATTTTCAATAATGTATCAATAAATTAAAGTTACCAAGTACATGCATAAGAAGAATTATAAAGAGATCTCAGGTTAAAAAAAAAAAAAAAAAGAATAAAATGAAAAACACAAATATAAAAACCTCTTCTTGAAGAACAGTCATCAGGTCAAAATTAGAGTCTGGCCAGGCTTCCTGAGAATTGCTTGTAGCAAGGAAGAAGAACTAACTGGGGAAGTAGGCAAGTAGACTGATCCTCTAGCACCAACAATGTGGTGAAGTTGCTTTTAGCCTCATAGTGTTATATGTTAATTTTATTAATTGATTTCCAAGTTGGAGGATGATAGAGATAAGTAGGTGAGACATTAGTTCTAATCAATTTATTTCATAAACACGAGAAAGGCAGGAGTTGAATTAATGTACACATCCCAAGGAAGTGAATTGATTTACAAATTATACAGCTAGAATTAAAATCCAGATCTTATTCCTAGTCCACTCTAACCAGAGAAAAGTTACAACAGAAGAAAAGCTGTCATTTTGGATGAGAAACACTCTCCAGCTCTTTAAAATGTAAAATTGAAGTAATCTCTTCAATATTTTTTTTTCCTTTGAGATCATCCAGCTTTGTGTGTTCTCATATCTGAAAGGGTAGTTTCATGCCAAGCCCTGAGCTCTGCTACACAGGTCTTATGGTGGTTAACCAAAATAAGAATAAGGGGGGAAAAAGCTTCCTGTATATGAATTTTATAGTTTCCATAGAAACAACATTCACATGATGGTTGTCTTTTTCTAATTCAGTGTATGTAGCATTTTCCAGTTTATGGAATCTGAGAAATTTGACAATAATCCAAATACTGGATGTCTTAAACACCAAAGCTACCTAGCAATTTTTTTCTATCACACATGCCCTTTATTGAATGTGATACATTATTACTATAGAAATATTTAAAAATATAGATAAGGAAGGAAAGAAAACATGAAAAAAGTAACTCACCTTACAGAGAGATAATCACTGGTAGGTTTTTGACATATACATTTCTAGTCATTTGATGCATATATTTTATGTAACAAAATCCACTTTGAAAGTGGTGAAACAAATGGGATCAGTCTAGCTGCAATTAGATTAAATAATGACTTCTTATTTTTTCCTTGGCTTTCAGACTACAACATTTGAAAATGAAATATATGTCACAAGAAAATCAAATAAAAGCCAACAATTATGCTTTTTAGTGAGAAGCAGAATGAATATTTATTGCTCAGATGATGGAATTTGGAGTGAATGGAGTGATATACAATGCTGGAGAGGTACGAGATAAAAGAACAGCAACTAAATAATGAGCTATTTGCTAGAAAAATTAATTTTCTTTCAGTGTATTTTGTAATTATGGAAATCAAAAGGCTCTTTTATATAGTCTATAATCAGAGAAGATACATTAGTAAGCACCTCAATCAAATATAGATTTATGGAAAATCTAATATTCAGTTTATTATTATTATTGTCATTATTGTTATTTTGTTAATCCTCACCCGACAATATTTTTCCATTGATTTTTTTTAAATCCTCAACCAAGAATATTTTTCCATTTATCTTTAGGCAGATGAGAAGGGAGGGAGAAAGGGAGAGAGAGAGACAGAGAGAGAAAAACACTGATGCGAAAGAGACACATCTATTGTCTCGTGACCCTGACCAGGGCCAGGGACGAACTGCAACCAAGGTATGTGTTCTTGGCTGAAGTCAAACCTGGGTCTCATTGGTCTGCGGACCGAAGCTCTAACCCCTGAGCCAAACCAACCAGGGCTCCATTGAATTTTAGATAGAATGGAAGGGAGGGAGGGGAAGAGGGAGAGAGAGAGAGAGAGAGAGAGAGAGAGAGAGAGAGAGAGAGAGAGAGAAACATTGATCTGAGAGAGACACTTTGATTGGGTGTTTCCTACATGACCCTGACCGAGGCCGGTATTCAAACCTGCAACCCACGTTATGTGCCCTTGACCGGGAATTGAACTGGTAACCCTTCTATCTGAGGGCTGACTCTCTAACTGCTGAGCCAAACTGGCCAGAGCTCAGTTTAAACTAGTTTAATTAAGAACCTTGTTATAGTTCTTTTATCAACATTCTAGTTTTTCTGACTCTCACTAAAGAGAACATGCTAGGCCCTGGCCAGTTTGGCTCAGCGGTTAGAGCGTCGGTCTGCGGTCCTGAGAGACCCGAGTTCGGTTCCCGCTAAGGGCACGTACCTCGGTTGCAGTTTGTCCCCGGCCCTGGTCGGTTGTGCAGGTGGCAACCACTCGATGTGTCCCTTCACATCGATGTTTCTCTCTCTCTCTCTGTTCCTCTCTCTCCCTCCCACTCTACCTGAACAAAAAATGGAAAAATGTCCTCGGGTGAGGATAAAAAAAAAAAAGAGAGAACATGCTAGTTCCCTTTGGGGGAGCCTATATTAACAATATGTTCCTATGCTTTCAATTTTTAAGAGAACAGAAATCTTAAAGCAAGAATACATCAGTATATACTTGTTTTCGAGTGACTAGTACTGTGCCTAATTAATATTTTTCTAATCAATATGTCATTATTAGTAAAATGCATATCCCAGTCACTTCCAACACTGATTTAAAGTGACATGATGAAATACATATTGAAATAGCAATATAAACTAAAAAGCCTTGAGAATGAGAAAAAATATTATTGTGCTTCATAGTATAATAGCTTTATCAATACAAATGAGTAATAATTGTTTGAAATTGAAGTTAACTTAGCATTGCTCGTTCAGGTATATAGGTATGTAAATACATATACAGATTAAGATATAGACAGATATTGGCATTTCTATCCATTATTCATCTCCTTTCATGTCATGTCATTATATTAGAACCACTGTTTGACTATCTCTCTATTAGTATAGAGGTATCACTGTTCTCATTCACTTATCAAATATCTGTTAAGCACCGACTGTGTCACACTTTTCAGGCATGAGAGATACAGCAGTAAAAAAAAATCCCTGTCCTCACAAATTTATATTTTATTCTCAAGTTGAGTAGAGATAAGCAACAAACAAAGCAGCCAAATACATCATATAATCACTTAAGGGCTATGGAGAAAAAAAATAGTCAATGAGAGGGAGAACTCAGTTAAGCAAGAGATAATATGAAATCACAATTAACACTTCCTGGTTCTATTTTGTCACTGCTGTAAGAAATCTAACATTGAGAAAGTCATGTCCTAAATATCTTATCATTTGTCAATGCATAGTTTATGGTGAGTTTTTAGCCACATCCTCAAAATATACATTTAAAAAATATTTTACAGATAGTCTTAATCATGATATTGATGACTGAGATTTCATTTTCCCTGATGGGTATATCTTGATAAATTCTTAATAACTTTGAGGTTAGGAACAAAGAATTTTCTGAGATGCATGCGGTCTTAGTTCTTTAGGCTATTTTATATTGGATTATTCAAGCTATAGAAAAATAGGACAACTTTTTTGAAATAAAAATATATCTTCTTCAGGATAGATTTTATGTAGAGAGAAAGCAACTGGAACCTCAGGAAATAAGCCTGCTTTCTCACTGTTTTTGCATACTAAAAACCTACATTATTAGTCATTTCTTTGGATTATACCCTTGCAAATCTTAACTGGACTGACCATATGAATTTAATTTAGTAGAAAATAAGATCCTAAGTGAATAGGACAAAGAAAAAGGTGGGGTTGAGAATAGGTTTAAGTGTGGTATGGAATTTAAGATGCTCTGTAGTGCCACTTTAAAACAAGTGAGAGAGACTAGGAAGGACAAGCTTTGTCTACTTTTAAGTCTGTCTAGTGATTACTCAATTCTTGTTATGCAGAAGAACCATTACAAGTTCATCATTAAAAGAAAAAACACTTATCTCTATAGTCACTGAAATGTGAGACAGTTTTCAAATCATGACTGTTAAAAACTAGATACATTATTCACACGTGAACTTATATTGCAGACCAGCTCTTGCTCACTGCAGCAATATATGATATTAACATTTGACTTACTGAGAGTTAAGAAAAATACAAGATATGTTTATCTTATCACTTGGCTAATGCTTTATCATTTTGTTCCTATGAAAATTTCACAAGGTCAATTTTTAAACAAAATCGTATTAGAAAATAAGAATTGGGCTTGGGGTAGTTATTTTTCTAAGGAAATTGAAGAGATGTCATACTTTAGTAAGGTAGTTGTTCTATATAAAAAAGGGCACGGATTAAAGGAATGCTATACTCTAACATAACTATGATATTTATGCAGTGACAAAGGTGGCAGTAGTTTCCAAGTTAAAACTCAAGTCTTCACCATTTACCAGATTATTTATAAAAGAATTCAGTTTCAAAAATAATTGTAAACATCTAATTCTTCCCCTTTTTTTGTGATTTTTTTCACCTAGGTGGCATACAAAAGGAAATCTTATTTTTCTTGATAACATTTTCTTTTGTCTTATTTTTTGTTTTGTTAATAACTTGTCTGCTCATGATGAAGCAAAAAGCTTTACTGAAAATGGTAAGTTGTATAACATTTTAATGCTCACTCTGGGACAGTAAATTAAAAAAAAAGAAGTTCTTCATTTAGGACTGATGGACCTACATTATATAATCTTGCCTGCATACTGTGGGTGTATAACTGATGTGGTATGGATTGTAATATCTTAAGAAAATACAGCAATTTAAAAATTAATCCTAAAAAGCTGCATTTTGGCATGGAGTTACTTTTTCTGAAACAAAAGAATAATGCTTTAGAACATGAAACACTATTTGCCTTTAGATTACGGAAAAATATAAGGAAAGAGTTACAGGAGAGAAGCTGGATCGGGAGAAAGGATAGAGTGACTTAAAATGGACATACTCTGAACTATATTACTAGTGTGCCATAGGCAAAGGATCACAAAAATTCAGAACTATGGTGCCTACCCTTCAGGTGCTCATGCTCTACTTGAGGGAGATATAATTCATACAAAAAATATAAACTGCATTATGAGCTGATTTTAGATGATTGCAGTTTGAGGTTTACAGATAATAGATTTCAGAAGAGGGAGGGATCACTATTGGTTGGTGGGCTTGCAGGAAGAATTGTGACTTGGAGGAAAATATCTTAATGTCAAGTCTTTTATAGATAAAGAGAATTGTAAATGTGTATGAAATGTTTTCCTTTATTTCTCTGCTGAATGTTTTTTTCTTTTTTGCCTATTCCTGTGAGTTATTAAGTCAATTCATTTGTTTTATTAATGATTATTTGTTGATAAGCTCTTTTTCAAATTTCAGGTTTTTCATACAAAAAAAGAAGTCTTCTCTCATCAAGAGACACTCTGTTAACTCAATAATTTTGTCTTATGGCCAAATGTTAACTATAAGTCTTACAGAACTGAATTTTTTCTCCAAATGCTGAATAAATCTGATTTTGAAAGCGTTGTTGTATTTAAGAGGTCTAGAGTATTCAAATTCTCAACTAGTAGTAAATTTTCTAGATTCTAGTCACAAGGTTTTTTCTTATTAATCTACTGTGAGAGTGCTGCACATACAGAAGTCAAGAGATGGGTCCAATTCTATTCAGTGATGTGTTAATTGTTAGCAAAGAAAAATGGCACCAGGTGTTAACCTCAGTTCAACCACTTCAGTTCTTGAGTTCTAAAAGAAGAATTCAGAGCCAAGACTCAAATTATAAGAGAAAATTTATTTAGAACATCACAGAAGTAGTAGAAGGGCCTTTAGAGCTTAGAAGAAAGAGGGATGAAAGAAAGGAGAGGCATAGGCATGCTCCAGAAAAGAGAGAGCGAGAGTCTGTGCCCTGGGAAAGGCTGGAGTGGGAAAAGGCATGAGTGTACTTCATACAGAGAACTATACTGGGTCCTCCATCCCATGGGCTTTTATCTGAGGTCTCAGGGGAGGATCTCAATAGACTATTCATTAGCTTTCCAGGCATGCCTCCTCAAGGTCCTGCTCTCCACTGATTGATAGCACCAGGGGAGGGGGTCATTAGTCATTGCAGCTGGTCCTGATGTCAACCACAGCATAACTCCACTTGGTTTTGCTGCTTTTCTGGGCATGGAGCTGAAACACAACTGAAGCTTAGATGTCATTGCCAGGGGTTAATGATTCAGAGAGTGGTTATACAAGGGCTTGTAATTTTATCCATCGCTAGGCATGCAGTGCTCTTCACCCTGGTGACCCTCTGTACCTGGCCCATCTTTCCTACTCTGCTCATGCCTATCTAAATGCCTATTATATTAATAAAACAATGATATTTTGCAACTTGCACTAAGCCATAGAGATATTGTTGAATGATGAGAGTCTAATTAAAAATAAAAAATTGCACTTGCCCAGTTGGTGTGGCTCAGTAGTTGAGCGTCAACCCATGCACCAAGAGGTCATTGGTTTGATTCCTGGTCAGGGCGCATGCCCAGGTTGTGGGCCAAATGCCCAGTGGGGATGTGCAGGAGACAACCAATTGATGTTCTCTCTCATTGATGTTTCTATCTCCCTCTCCCTCTCCCTTCCTCTCTCTCTAAAATTAAAAAAAATAATAATTAAAAAAATTTAAAAATTGCACTTGAAATGAAAGTGTTCACCATGAATAAGGTTGTTTGACTTTAAAAACAGTCCATAGAGAGGATTAATAAGAAGATTTAAATACATTCATAGTTTAAAGTATGTTTCACATTTAATGAAAGAAGTGAGAGGAATGCAGTGTCTACGAGGCTGAAAATAATGAAATGACTAGAGATCATATTTTAAAAATTCAGATGTCACAAACAACACAATAAAAATTTGGGAGTTTCCTATACTAGTTGGCAGGCAAAATTTCCTACTTTTTGATGATGTAATTTATTTTTTTAACTTTTTTAGTTCAGAAACCCAAAAGCACAAGCCTGTGAAATCAGTAAGAAGACTTTTTAAAGTATATCAAAAATTTCAGGCGAATTAACAATTGACTTCTAGGAGAGAATGTGGCAATTTAGCAGTAGACAGTTGCTTTAAAATTTAAGAAATAATAAATGATCTATAGATTACAATCAAGAACCAAGGTTTAATTTGGACCAATTTCTGTTTAACATTATTCAGAGTGGTTTTACTCTGGTCCACACACCTATAGAGTGGGCATTAACTGGGAGCCTATTAGAAATGCAGAAGCTCAGACCCCAACCCAGACCTACTCAATTAGCTATCAGCATTTTAATAATATTTCCAGGTGATTTATTTGTATATTCAATTAGAAAAGCACTGATATACAGCAGGTCCTTGAATAACATCTTGTCGCTATAATGTTAATGAGAAAAAACATTGTTTTCCATCCATGGCTGCTATCTGTGTGGAGTTTGCATATTTTCCCCATGTCTGTGTAGATTTTCTGTGGGTAGTTTGGTTTACTCCCACATCCCAAAGATGTGCATGTTAGTTGAATTAGCTTTTCTAAATTGCCCCATTCTGAGAGAGTATGGGTGAATGTGTGACTGTTCTCTTTGATGGAAGGGCATCCGATCCAGAGTGGGTTTCCACCTTGTGTTCAGAGCTGATAGGATAAGCTCCAGCCACCGGCCACCCTAATCAGAATAAGTGGCTTGGAATATAATACTTTTTAAAAAATTAATCTTTCTTAATTTTATGTATAGCTCATATTTATTTCAATGTTTAATAATAGAAGTGTTTTGAGTCTTTAGAAATTTGATGATGTTTTTGTTACTAGCAATATGCCACAGGAACTTAACTCTTGTTTAAATGAATTAGCCTATGGTAAAATTTGTTTTCTTATGTCATTTCACTTAAAGTCACACTTTCCAAGAACCTATCAATGATGTTAAGTGAGACTTACTGTATAACACTATTTAAAATGGAAAACACTAAAGCAAAATAATGAACAAGCAAGCCCATGGGCAGGGTAACTACAGCTTTGTCATTGTTACTGATCATACATCTCTAAAAGGGAAAAAATAGCTAAAACTTTAGTGTGTAGGATAGGAAAAATAATTTTACCTCTACCCTTATAGGTTCTTGGCTGTGATCCCCCCTTAATAAAAGATATTTTAACTGGAATAAAACAGAAGTTTAACAATATTTATACCTCCTGCATACATGGGAGAGACCCAGGAAAACTGGATAAGTCTCTAAAATGTCCCAAGCCACTAGCTTAAATAACATTTCCAGTTAAAGACAAAAGATGGGGTTGGGGGACAGTTATGGGAGGTTATCAGGAAAAGCACAGTAAACCAGGGTAAGGTTTTGATGCAGATTTAAGTCAGTTGCCTTCTCCATTGATAAGAGTCTTTAGAGATTTAGTTATCTTCCTTTTCCTGGCACAGAGAGGAAAACACCCTTATAAATGGAGATTCCCTTATAAATGTAAATGTCTGTTAAAGGGTAAGTTCTACTTAGTTTTCATAGCTTTTCCTGTGTCTGCTATTTCTTAAATATAATCAGCCTAAAATAATCCTTATGCCAAAGAGGCATCTTTTAGGGTGGCAAATTCTGCTCCCCTTTAGGTATGAACTAGAATACTAGAAACCAAAATTAATTTTTGACTCTAATAAAAGTTTAAAAACATTTATTTGAGCCAAAGGAGCTGTGTTACTGAACTGAAGGGGTTTGTGCACATCAAAGCCCTATAACATTTGAACAGTAAAGAAGGTAAAGGTTTATTTAAGGACGTGGCTTCAGTCCCAGAGACACAAGTGAGCTTTCATTCCAAGACCTCCCCAGTGGCCTCTAGGAGATAGACTATATAGAGGAAAAATCATCAGTCATGGTCACTAATGGGCTCTATTGATAATAGCTATGGAATTGTTCTGTCTGGTTTCATGAGGGTGTGGTTGGTAGAGTTTTTATGCCAGATGGGCCTGGGGCTGAGGTCAAGATGTTATCTTCAGTTTGACCAAAACTTTGTTCTTTTGATCAACAGAACTGAGGCTTTATTCTTAAGATAGTCCGACACCTACCAGAACCTGATGTCCTAAGCGTTTAATAATTAAGGGAGTGGATGTGCAATATGTCATGGTGCACATAGAAGGACAAAGCTAGCTTAAGTTAAGGAAAAAGTCATATCAAAGGAATGAAGTTCTTGTGCAGTTGCAGCTGCAGCCTGGGAGACACAGACTAAGGTAGCAACCTAAACTGTGCTCACCTAAGGCAAAAAAGGAGGCCATCTTTTACAGAGAAAGTTCCCACCCAGTTCCCAATTTTATGCAAATGAAGTTTCCAAATCATGCAGGTCTGACTGGTTGGTATAGATGCAAATGAGGATATAATTTGCATAGTTCTGATTGGACAGGGTAGGTCTTAGTCCCTTGGTAGAAAGAGAAACCAGGGCTTCCCTGCAGTGGTTGACTCAGACTACATAAATAAGCTAAGCATAGCATTGGAAAGCAAGAGTTCAATCTGAGCGTCTTCCCAGTTTACAAAGTAGGTGGGGAGCCCCTGTCAACAAATGGCTGCTATACTTTTATTATTCATAAAATTTGGGACCTCGGTGAACTATGGGGAGACCCATCTCAGCAGATAAATGCCTTCTCATGGTTCACATCAAATGATCTTTCTTCTCGGAGTTCACAGCCCTTTACTATCACTTGTAATCAGTGATGCACTCCCATTTCTCTAAGTAGATCTATCCTTGTTAAACAATAAAACTCCTACAGTAATATGAATTAAGATATAAAATGATTGGCAATTGCTTTAAAACCAGGGCTTGCTAAAGTTGAATTTTAATGTGTTGAGGAATGTTGGGGAGGAAGGAGAAATGTGAAGGGTAGAGGTCAAGGCTAAACAAGGAAATGGCAGGCAATCCCATCCTTGGAGGCTGAATAAGTCTTGGAAAATTAGTATTCCAATTCCCCTGGTCAGAACATGCATAACAAACTCTACTAATTACAATAATCTGGAATCCCTGCCATAAACCTGATGTCTTTACCAGAATTGTGATGTAGCAAGGGCTCCCTGCCTGAAGAACATAGAAGCCAATACTATCGCACCAGCTTTCGAAAAAAGGAAAACAAATTGCCTTTATTGGGAAGTTGACTGCCAAGGAGACAGGAGGCTAGGCTCAAATCTGTTCCTCTACTCCAGGGTTTGTGGCAAGATCTAAGACATTTCAGCACTAGATTTTCCTGGAAAACAAACCCTTTGCCTCTGAAATGGTTCCAGCACTCAGGTTTTGTTCATGTCCTGGTCTTTCGGTTTCATGTATGGAAGCAGTTAAGGGTTCACAAGTGTTACTTGTAAGTGGTGTATCCAAGGTTTAAACTTTGGTTCCGGGTCTTGTTAGAAACAGGATAAGACCAATTTGAGATCTTTCTGAGGTTACAGAATTGCCCCAATAAGTGAATGTGGCAACCAAGTGGAACCAAATC